TTTCTGTAGAGAACATCTCTTTACAGAAATATTTTTTGTTGAATTAATGTAGTTTCTGTCACAAATATTCCTCTATTCATGATCTCACCAAAGTGGCATTTTACAAAGATTAAGAATTATTTTTCCCTCAAGTAAATGAAATTTCTTTTCCCAAAGCAGCTCTACCAACGACTCCTTTTGATGCAGCAATGACAGTTTCTTCCCTGACATCTTAGGAACAACCCACATTGCAAAGGACAAATATTCCATATGGTCCTCAATCACCTTCCCCAGCCTATATCCACAAGGAAACTCTTTCCAATACCTTTCATGCTGCTCTGTGCCTGGCTGCAAGGAAAGGCAACTGCTTGCCAAATGCTCCCAAACTGGGCACTTGGCTGGGATTAATCGATGCATGTGCCCAACCAACAACATAACAGCATTGCTTTTGCTCTCTGACTGAAGAATCGAAGTTTATTAATTATTCCACTTGAAGTTAAATCCCTTTTGCAATAAAATCTCCACTCTTGGCCTCAACCCTCTCAATGAGTAATTCCATCAAGGAAACTCTTCTTGCAGCACCGTTCACAGAAGATTAAAAAAAAGGGAGTCAGTATGTTTAGAGAGAAACTCTACTGTGCCATACTTGTGAGTAATCCCTCTGTCCACATGCCCATGGGTCACCAGTTGGAAAAGGCAGCTTGCAATGCACTCAGTACTTGGCAGTGAGCAGCTTTTGCACTTTTATCCATCCTCAAATGCATCCTTGCATCTGCGTGAAAGATTAGAACAAAATGCTGCTACGACACAACAGCACACACCATGTGTATCAGCTCACCAAGATCAAAGGCACACAGCAGCGAAGAATTTAATTAAAATGTTAAAATTAAACAGGAAGGCATCCATTGTTTAATTTTTTGGCAGGCATCTTCATTCAAACCGGGTCCTAATTCCATTCCAGCACGCTGACTGCCCTTGGAGATGGCAATCAGGAGAGCTCTGCCGGATTTATCAGCTGCTGGATTTGGCGGTGGGGGAATCCCACGCTTGCTTTGGCTTTCAAGCACAGTCCCTAAAAAATCACTAAGAGAAACTGCTCAGCTTCAAAGGATAATTACTGCTATATTCATATTCTCCAGTAATAAATCAATTTCCAGTATCCAACCTAAGCCCCTTGGGATGGGCACAAGATACACACCCAAGAGCATCATTCCCCCTTGCAGTCCCAACAGGGAGATGTGACCTTGCCACGTCCAACCACTTCAAGACACCCTTCCCTCCATACAAAGGCTGTTGGAAATGGGGTAAAACACTGATGCAAAGAAGTGGTGTTTTGTGTGTAACATGGCTTCTGTATGGGGAGGAGCAGGGATACACAACAATGTGGTTTTAGATCTTGCATGCAGATGGGGGCCTTGTCTTGTTTGGTTTTGCTTTGAGCATACCCCCAGCACACAGCCAGGGAGATTATTCTGAAAACAGTTCAAGCAATTCTCAAGTTTGCTTGTTCAATAACTTTAAGATATTTCCTGGCTTCCTGGAGTATTTTGGGCTGAATGCTTAAGGCAGCCATGGACCGCACAGCCCACCTCAGGGAGGCTGAACCAGGAAGCCAGATGTCTCCTTGGTTTTTGGGAACCTAAAAAGAAAGATTTTGCTACTTCTTTAATGCTATTTGGGATGCCACAGAAGCTTTTCACCCAATATGAAGAATGTCAAATGCAGTGTCAAACATGGGACCCCAAAACAAGCACTCAACATACATGTGACAAAGGATTTGAGCTGGGGCTTATCACTTCAAGCCGAAGATACTTCGGATTTGCATCACCTGAGAAATTACACAGGAGGACAGAGCATTAATATCAGGAAAAGACTGAGGACAAACACAATAAACTTCTCTTTGAAATTCAAAGAACTACAGTAGAACTGTTACTATAAATTATTTCCTGATGTGCCAATGATCTTGCTGATGTTGGATTGCCACTTGAGATCTTCTGGGTAGAATTTCACCCTCAATACTTCTGACTTTTGAGTACTTCTAGTGAACTCAAGTCAGGCTGTTCCCAGCATTCTCTGGTATTTCTCACAGAATGAAGATCAAGTTGACAGATTGGGACTTCTGCAAGAGAGTCAAATCAGATTTATTTCTGACAGCAGGTCTGGGACTGTACACCTCTCCTCTGAAAATGTATAACACTTCATTGAAATCTTCCTGCTTCAGTTTTTCTCCTGCTTCCTTAACACTACTTTACTCCTGCAAATTTTGGTGACTATGATAGGGTCTTCTTATCAAATAGGCTTCTCCAATCCAGTAAAAGCCCTCTGCGTCATGGATCACTAAAAACATCCTGAACAACTTCTGCCTTGCCATGGCCCTGCCAAACTGGGCTGGAACATCTGCACCAGCACTTATCCAGGACCTGGAGCCCTCAGAGCTCCCCACAATGTTTACCCATGCCTCAGGCTGCAGCCCTTTCCCCACAGTATTAGCCCAGCAGCTCCCACAGGCTCTGCCTCTAACACAGCCTTCTCCCANAAAGCAGCTTAAAATGACTAAGCAGTTATTGGCAATCTGAAATTTCTCCCAGATTTTAGAAGAGTTTAGCTTTGAAAGCTTATACAACATCCTCACCTTCTCCTGTTGGTTCAATAAACTCAGTTACAGCCTTCTAACATCTTATTAAAGTACACTTCATATATCTATTAGCATACCCTGGTATCATGAGAGTAGCACACTATTCTGGGTTTAATCTGTTGATTTTCTGGGCAGATACATGCTCAAACATGTTCTCATAGCAGCTCCAACTTGTGCTACAGCTGGAGTTCTTAAAGACTTCTGGAGCACCAAAGCTATTGACTCATGGATACAGTTCAAGTATGAGAGAATTAAAGTGTCAATAAATAAGTTAATATAATGCTGCAAACTCAAGTATTAGGTAGTCTGAAAGTATTAAAGCTATACATCTTATTTCCCTCAGCCTATTGCTACAGTCTCTGACTTGTGCTGCCTGGAAAGCTCACCAGGAGCTATGATGGGAAGAGAGAAATAACTGCACCTCGCTGTTATTCACAGGTAACAAGGAGGTCTCCAAGTTAACCAAGAGGGCTGAGGAATGAGGCTGCTGAGCTGTAAAAGCACAGGCAGGGAGCAGAAATTCAGAGCAACAGTCTATTGACCTGTACTAATGGTGTTACACTCTGAAAAGTAAACTATTTTCTTAATTAAAGATTTTCTTTATTTCATTAACATATTTTGATGAGGAGCATGTTGCTGCCAAGCTGTCATACTTTAGATTGATCTAAGGTAATGGGCATTCAGATTTCATACTTCAGCTTGATCGATATTAAATAGCTCTGATTTATTTTTCTATTGAATATTGCGGCATTATTTTGGAGGCACCTCTGATTTAAAATGCCAGAAGGAACACAATAAATAAGAATTCCTTTTCCCTTTAATCATCATTGTCCATGTTTCTGCAGTAAAATGAAGTGCAAAACAAGTTTTCAAAGCAGGCATCCCTCTCTGCAAAGACAAATACAAACTGAAAATATTTCAGCATATCTAAAAATCACAGAACAGTTTGACTCAGCATGAGACTACAAAGAAACCAAGCCTAAACACAATTTTGTGGGCTTCACGATTCCTGAAAAACCCCACTTCTCCCCCAGCCAGTACAGTTACACAAATAAATAGAGATGCATATAACTTACCGGAGCAAATATCACCATACACATTTACAAAAGGATTTATAATCCAACTTGCGTCTCCTGAAATAAAGCAAGGTTTGTCTCATACTAAAAATAAAGGCTCCCAAAAGCTTCTCACAGGAGAGAGAGAGAGAGAGAGAGAGAGAGAGAGAGAGAGAGAGAGAGAGAGAGAGAGGGAGGGAGAGGGAGCAAGCGAGCATCAGCTCCTTGCCTCGCTTTTTATGAAGCAAATAAGGAGAGCAAGAAAATCAATGCTGAGAGAAAGTGAGATGATATACCAATCAGGCAGCAGCCTCAGACTTGTTTGCAGAGGGATGGCAAAATGCTCTTATTATTAGACACTGACTACACAGAGCCTGAGTGGAGAAAGCGTTTCCCCTCGGCGAGGGGCTGATTGCTTTGTTGTGGTGCAGGTACCACCATGGTGGGCTGGGAGATGCAGCCCCTTCCCTCCCACTGCTAATGCAGCATTGCTTTGGTCCTCGTGTGTGCTCCATAGAAAAGAATCAGCTCACAATTTTGGGCTGAAGTTGAAAAAAGCTTGAAGATCCTCCAAACTGTCACTGGAGCCTTGCTTCCTCATTGTGGGGCTTGGGGGCTGTCTGGACTCTGTTACATTTTGAGATGCCTTTCACTGCACCTCGGACAGCTGCCTTGCAGCTGCAGCAAGGAGCCCATCCAGAAAGGGGAAAAGACTTCCCAAGTCTCCCATACCTCCACGTGTGCTGAGCAGACCCTGTGCTTGCACAGATCTCCAAAGCATCCTCCTGAAATCTGAGCTTTTGTCCCTTTTTGTGTATCAGAGAAAACCACTGGGAAACCCATGGATTGCCCTGCACCAAGAGGGAAATTTTTTGTGCTATTAATCCACTCAAACAACATCTTTGCTGTGCCACATGTGTTGGGGGGAGGAGGATGTATCAGAGGACGAGCTCAGGCACCTGTTTGTGAGCTGGACACATCAGTGGCAGCCAAACACCACTTTCTTTTTGGGAAGGTGCCACATTTGCTCCCCCCACCAGCAGCTACACACAAACCCCACACCCTGTCACAGCAAACTTCCTCACAAGAGGGGCTTCAGGCCAGTCCCACATCTCTGCTCTGCATTCAGGACATCAGTACATTAAGAGCAGGAATGGATCTGTGGATCCCTTTTGGAAAGGTGTCTGCTCTGCACTTACCTGTGCCCCAACACCACTCAGTGTAACCAAGACTAAACCATACTGTGCTGTTTATTGATCAGTGCTGAGCTGATCACTGTTTTACCCTCTTTTTTCACCCACAGCATCAAACATTTACAAATACATGTGACATAAAGCAAATTTCCCTTTTATTAGGAGACAGAAGTTACATGCTGGTATACAGATACACCTGTGAGGTGACAACAGTTCTCTGCACTACAAAATTGGAGCACAATTGCTTTTCCCCAGTGGCTTGGGATTTACAAGAAGTACTGGAATTCACAGGAAAATCCTGAAGACAAAAGCAAGGAGGCTGAATTCATCTGGTAATACAGTTGTATTATCTGTTGGGGGCTGGCACTTCTAGCACAATCCAGGCACAGAGGATGCTCTGACAACCCTTTATGAGCACAGTACTCCAGGCCCCTTTCCCACAAGCAGGAGCTGCACAGCCAGGCTGACAGATGTCACTGCTGTCGATGTGGCCCTGTGTTTCCAGCAGATACAGCCTGATACTGGTGGATGCTGTAATGAGGAGATGCTCTGATGCTCAGAGAGTTCTTCAGGCTGAAGCACTGCTCTGCTGCGTGGTGCATTTTAACATACACAGAAACGTTCACCAGCTACCTGCACACCTCCTGAGCTCCAGCCATGAAGATTAAACAACACAGCGACTCTGGTCTGCAGAGCTGGGCAGCATTTGCTCCCTCCCTGAATTGTGAGCAGCCCTTAGATGCCTTATAAATGCAGGCAGGAGCTGCACTCTGCAGTCACATTCATACTCCACGTGGTCAAAGGTGACCAAGGACCACACAAAACTTACCACCCACTGCATCAGCACAAAGAGTGATGCTGGCTCTCCCGCAGCCCTGGGAGCTCTTCTCCAGCCTGTGGGTGCACATTGGTGGAGGATGGCAGGAGGATACTCAGCTTGCCTCAGCTCCCCAGCTGATGCATCTCACTGCTCCTGGCCTTCTTCACTGCATTCAGTTCTCCAGCTGGCACTCAAATGCGCTGTATCTCATGGTGACCAGCCTCTTGCTGCAAGGTGTGAGAGTAAGTGAAATGCAAACACCTCTCATTTCATTTTCCACTGAGAAAAATCCCTTCCCACAGCTAACAACTGCTTACTTAAACTCATTAAAGTCTTCTGAAAACTTTGAAAAACATACATTAAAAGAGTTTTGCTGAGCTGAGAGCTGCCATGTCTCAGCCCTCAAAACATCTGTGCACCTGTGCAGGATGTAGGGATGCAGCTTTAGCCAGAGCACAGTGGGTTGTGGCAGATGAGGACCTGTCCTGTAACAAACCTCCTCCAAACAACACAGTAACACAACTCCACAGGATACAGAAACCAAGGACTGTTTTTTTTCCCCTAACTGGTAACACACCACAAATGCTGTAGGTCAGTTCTAACACTACTAAAAGGCAAATGTGCTGGTGTTTGCTGACAAGGCAAAACACTTGTCAGGCTGCAGCAGACCCTGCAGCATGGTCCTTTCTCCAGCTTTATTAGAGTAGTTTCCAAAAATTCGTCTGAAATACTTGATGGGGCACTCAGCATCACCAAGCACAAGAAGAACTACTGCCAAAACCAGTACTGCTATGCCATGTCTCTGTGCTGTATCACAGCTTTTTACTTCTGATTTTTGAGTTGGGAGTTTCAAAGCAAACTAAAAAACTTCCTGGGATTTAAGCCTCAAACTAATTTAGGTACTATTGAAAAGCAGTATACATGTAACAGATTTGCATCAACTTTGTGCAAGGTTCATGGCCAGTGTTGCTGAAAGGGATGCAGTGACACCAGGAACAGGACAGGCAGCAGATACTGCAGGACTCAGGGGAGGCATCTGCATAAGGTCAGCTCAGAATTACAGAAGTTGGAAAAGACCCCTCAGATCACTGAGTCCAGCTTAACGGAGCACTGCCAAGTCCACCACTAAACCACATCAGGATCCTCAGCTCTGCCCAAGGCTGGACTGCACCCTCGCCCTGCCCAGGTAAAGCCAGGAACAGACAGCACCACCAAAGACCCTTTGGACCATGCTACTGCATTGGTGACCACTCCACATTTGGAAAAGTTAATTAATTAATAATATTAAAGTGTCCATCCCACCTGTGCTACAGAGAAAGCATCAATCAAGGCAGCAGTGGTGTCCAAGAAGGCTGAAGCCTGGCAGAGGGGCTGGAGCTCCAGCTGAGAGAGGATAATCAGCCTACCTGCAGCCACTGCTGTAAACAACCCACCAGTACAGGGAATATTAAGACAGGCTGCCTGTTTGCCAACAGAGATTTTCACATTTCCCTCTCAATCTTTATTTAAATTTGGGAAGACAGAAAATTAACGAAGTCTGAGATCTGTAACTGGAAACCATTTGTTTTTCTTGTGGAAATGGAACGTTTCCTAATGAACTTCCCCTCCCCCTGTGCCACTCAGATCCGGATGCAAATATTGCTGCGAGTTTATCAATCTGCGGCTTGTTTCACGCAGTTTGCAATGCTAATGAGTAAACCAATTTTGACATATTATGTAAGCCAGTTTCTGAAACAGAGATTCTTGGCAGGCCAAATGTAAACACAGACACCCTCTTGCATCCAATTTAAATGAGCATGTTGCTGAAAGCACTAAGGGCTTGATTCTGTTGACTTATTCCTGATTTACTCCAGTTAAAAAAAAAGGGTGGGGGGAAGAAGAGAAAGAAAACTAACAAAAATACCTCTTCAATTCAATTACTAGTGCAGCAGCAATTTGCAAAATGGATCTAATTTTGTAACAAGGACATGTGCTGGAATAAGCTAATACAGGGTGGTGACTTGGGCACTGTGTGAGCACAGCACACGCCTGGGAGCACACATGCCATTCCAGATGGAACTGAGGGGGGAGATGACAGCTCTCCTCTCCCTCATCCCCCCAAGCCAAAATTAGGTCCAGGTAGTGGCCCACGGGTTGGAGCAGCCCCAGAAGGTGACTCCTTCCAGCCTCTCACTCTTCCACCAGAGCTTTGCAGAAGAATGATGCTGCCTATGGAGGCAGCAGGCACAGCCCAAGAGCAGCACCAGCTGTTTTGAGCTGCCCCTGTCCTTCACATAAGGGCCAGTAGGAACCCAGAACATGAGGGAGTATTTGTTTCAGCACACACTAAAAGTTTGCACTTCACCAGCACATGTCCAGGTGTCAAGACCCCAGGCACTACTCAGTACCTTGCCCACCTGGCTCAAACCTGGCAATGCAGAAAGTCAGACACTGTGCTTAATGGATTAGATCCACTTTTTAAAGACTAGCACCAGAAAAACATGCTGGGAGGTACCCACTAAGAATGGCAGACTGCAACAACCAGCAGAACAACTGCCAGTGACACAGTGATGAGCTGCAACTCACAGGCTCAGAGGCAGGGGTAGGAAAAAAAAAAAGAGAAAAAAGAGGGGTAAGTTTTTAAAAGGCCTTAAAAAAAAAAGGCTCTACCAGAGAGATGAGCATGATTTTACTGGAGTGAGGAAGGGCCAAAATCAAATCTTTCATTTGCACTTTTTCCCAGTACCATCTGGAGCATTTGTATCTGCCAAAAGCTCGGCGCACTTGACCAGTGGAACCAAACAGGGTAGAGGCAAACCTGGAGGTGGCCTTTGGCCTGTTATCAGCTCTGGGCACCTCCACAGTGCTTTAAAACTGAAACACCCCTGTGAAGTTTAATTGTGATGCTCCTGCCATGACAGAGTAAAAGCAATAAAATCAGAGACATGCTGTGCTTTGAGGTAGGGTGTGCTGCCACAGAATGTATTTATTGTGTGTCAGAGATCCCACCAGCCACCAGAGCTACAAACACCACCTCACATTAAATTCCCTGCACAACATCACAACCAGGATACCATTTACCATACCTGGATCTTTTACATTACAAGGAAAAGGAGAGCAAAAGGAAGAATACTTTTAATCTCCAAGCAAATATCTCATCCTGAGCTTTCAATGGTGAGAGCAAACTTGAGAGTTCTTCCCTTTGTGCTGTGCTGCACTTTTGAGCTATGATCATAAGCAGCCAAATGACACACATTTGTTGGCTCATTAAGTTTCACCCTGCAAGTTTAACAACTGTATATTTCTAAAGTAATTCACATTTTTATGCCATAAGAGAAAACTTACTGCTGTCTAGACACCGAGGGGGAAAAAAAAAGGACAGTGCTTGAAAGGAGGGCAGCAGACAAAGAAGCATCACTTGGGATATGAACAACAGGGACATGAGATGCCTGTACAGACCCAGCACCACGGGGCACAAATCCCAGCACTGCAGGGCTATGGAAGAGCAGCAAAGACTGGGAAGAGAAGATGCATTGCAGATCTGAGGGACCTCATGATTTTTGTCCAAGTCCAGCTCTTTGCCAGCCAACAAACACCCCCAGTAGTCACACTCCTATCCCAGCACGGAGCCCAAGGTGGGAGTAAAGCCCAGAATGACATCACAGCATGGACTTCCATCCCAGCAGGGAGATGAAGGCAGCAAGCAACCAGTGCAGACTCATGTGCCACAGCACCTCCCTCCATCCCTCCTGCTTATCTACATCTGGCACATTATAGTAACAGACAGGTAAATGGGGATTTCATTCCTAACATCTCATTTTTTTACTGTAATTTTAAATGATTTGGAATAACTCCTGCGGTTAGAAGTCCAACTGTTATTCAGAGTTAGTCAATTTGGAAAGCTCTCACTGTCCATTCAAGCATCCCCTGGATTCCTCATGCTCAGAAGAGTGTTACTGCCATTCCCTCATTCCTAATGCTTTCTGCATTTTAACACTGTCCCATTTCTGCATGTCTTAAATACCAGATACTAAAACCATACAAAGAACAATCAGGAGGCCAAATGGATACCGACTGGATGATGAAAACAGCACGAAATAAAAGAGAATCAGATTATTTTTTGTTGTAATTTTTATAGCTATTTAACAGGAAGAATGGAAAAATCTAATTACTGTCAACTGTAAGTTTTCAGCTACCCAGCCAGCAGTGCGCTGTTATTAAACTACTGTATAATTGCCTCTTTTACTCTGCTTCCCACAGAAGTTGTGTTATTTCACTCATAGTTAAACTCATAATATTGGCTTCATAACTAATCCTGTCAATCGAAATCCCCGGGGGCTGGTGCAAGGATAAAAATAGCAAGCAGTTGTTTCTTCCCTCAGCTTTCTCTCAAAGCCCATTTCTGCAGGCACTGGGGCTGCAGCTCAGCAGTGCCACAGATCTTGGCACCACCACTGGCCTGTGAATGCTGCTCCTACGGCTCAGAGCAAGCAGAGGGGAGGGACAGGTCCTTCCTGCAGGAGATTCAGTCCCTTGCGCTGTGTCTATCCCAGGAAAGGCCAGTCTTACCCACCCCTCCCTCCTGACCCAGGCAGCTCAATTAAGGTATTTGATGTTGCACAGTTGAACCCCAACCTCCAAGCCCAGCTGCCTACCCTGGGACTTCTTGCCAGCCCAGAGGCTGAGATGACCTCATAAAGCCTGAGGAGACATGAAAAACATGGCTTTGTTCCTTCCCCAAACGCTGGGACAGAGTCTCACACAGAAAACCCCACCAAGATACCCAGCTACCTGTTCAAGCATCAAAGATACCCACTGAGATGTCTGTTGGGCTCCAGGTTCCTAAAGGTCTTTTCCAGACTAAATGACTCTGTGCTTCTCCAAGATGAGTACAATTTGTCTATGCACTTACAGGAAACTGCAAAAAGCACCAGATTTTTGGCCATCCAAATAGTTCACCTCTGTCTGAACCCTTGTTTCCTGTACATCCTGGATAGATATCCCTTGCTAATTCATGGCATGGTCCTTTCCCAGAGATGGCACTGTGTTTGCCTGGGTCTCCTGCCTCTCTCCTCCAGCATGTCCTTCCTTCCCTGTGGGATACTCCTCTTGCCCAGGACATAGAGGGCCTGAACTCACTGCTCAGCTCAGGTTTGGGATGAGGTGATAGGGCTGGAAAGGGTGAGGAAAGATGGATTTAACCTCACACTCAGCCCTACAATCTATCTCTCTGGAGACAACAACCCTGTGCTGGGGTTGCTCTCTGGTGGGCACGCACAGAAACTGCTGAGAGCTGGCAAGGAAAAGATGGGAAACAACACATTTCCCAAAGTGGTGTCCCAGAGGAAGGTGGCCATGCTGGGGGGGAACCAGTGCCAGGGCCCTGCATGCACCTAGACCAGCTCCAGAGTCACCTCTCTTGCCTGGAGGAGCCCCTCCCTGTGCTGGGACTGACACACAGACAAGAACACAGAGCACAGCAGCACACTCACTGCACCACCAGGTCCATGTGGGAATCATGGGAGACTGCTTCATCTGAGGTGGTTTTCCTCCTGGAAGAACCACCACCCTGCCTCCTACAACCAGAGGCAGGGGTACAGCACCCCAGCCTTCACTCAGCCCGCTCCTGGAGCCATCCTTGGGATGGACAACAGCAGTGTCCATCAACACAGGAGTGAGAGAAACAGGGCACCAGTTTAAAAATGTGTAAAAAAATAAATAAAATTGCTCACCCTTTCTCCCACCCCACAGCAAGGATGGACCAGCCCCAGCACAATGCTCTGCAGCCACACAGGAAACTACTGCTTTCTGTGCAAGCCTGAGACACCCTGGCCAGAGGCACCACAGGGTTAAAAAACCCTTTTGTGTGCTGTGAGAGCCCTCTGGGAAGACATCTCTTCCCTGAGCTGTGTTGTTCTGTCCTCCTCCCATCACTAAACTTCATTCACTGTTTAAGACAAGAAGATAAAAAAATAATTTTTGCCATTGTTTGGGCTGCCAAGCAGCACCACAGTGCTCCCAGTCAAACCAGGAAAACTTCCACCATGTCCAGCCTGGAGAGCTCTGGTGCTCCCATGGCTTGGGGGACTGCCTTGGCTGACAGAGCTCTCAGCAGCCCTGACACTTAAAATAAACATGGCCCAACACAGTGTTAGATTTCCCACCCATGGTGTTTGTGCAAATGAACCCTCAGGCTGACAGACCTCCTTACTCAGAAAGCTGCAAAGACACAGAGAAACTCTAAGGCCAAAGTCACCCTGGTGGTGGCACTGTCAATGAGCTGCCACCTCCCTGCCAGCAAGCAGAGCCCACAGCCTCAGCTGTGCCAGCCATAGCAAGGACAAAGGAGGGAAGCACCAATACATGAGGGCTGAAGCAAACCCACCAGCATGACTGAGAACTATTCCTGTGTCCAAGTACAGGAGGAGAGTAAAGGACAAGGAAAACTGAGGATGCAACAGAAGCAGCAAAATCTCCTATTGTTCCTACAAGTGCTGGTAATGCACAGCACACAGAGGAGCTCAAAGCAACAAAACACATCTGGTAGCATGAACCAGCCTGCCTCAGTGGAGGTGACAACATATGTGCCCTCTCTGGATGCTCAGCCAGGTCCTCAAGGAGAACATGGCAAAGCAATCACTCTTATAAACACAGGCCTTAATATCGAGATCACCATCCTTGGGGTCTGATTCTTCAAAGATTCAAAACCTGCCAAAACTCCTAATCTTCCTCTTGACTATACTGCTTGTGGTGTGTCCATTTAAAATTTCCAACTCTTCATCCTCAAAGAAGAGGAGAAACAAGAGTCCCAGGCTGTCCTATGCTCCTCGTGAAGTGACACAGTGTGTTTGGATGAATTCCCATCAAACAGCAGTAGATCCTTCAGGATGAATCTGGAAGAGGAGAGCACAGGTTGTGTAAGTAGTGGGTAAATCAAGGCCAGCCTAATTTTCCCATTTGCACAGCGGCCCAAGCATGCAAGAAAATGTGTGCAGGGTCCCTGTGTTCCCCAAATTAATGTACTGTGGATGAAAGGATGAAAATGTATTTCAATTGACTCATTGGTCAGGGAGAAATGAAAAGGAAGTACATTACTGCTTCCATAAGTTCTAATTACCTGTGGATTTTAGATGCAAGAGCAATGCATTCATCTTGCTACCTATTTTTCATTAAACATAGTTCAATCAAAGAAGCCATCAGCTTTCTTAGATGAAAGTAATTAAGGAAAGCACAGGCTGTTGTGTTTGCAGGGGAGACAGGAGCCTTCCCCTTGGCAAATCTCATGCTCCCAGATGCATCCAACCTACCAGAAGTTTTAAGCCAGCTGTAAGCCCAAGGCTTGTTCCCAGATGTGGGGCACCCTGCTGCTCCAGCAATCAACCCACCCACTGCTCCAGCTCCATGGGATGTGCAAATCCTTCCCCCCTACATAACTGCATCTGTTATCGAACAAAACACAGCTGCTTCTGAGAAGGGCACACCATGCCACAGACCTGCCCCCGTGCCAGGGTACAGGGCAGAGGAGATGTCTGTATGTGCCCATCTCATGCTGCAGGGCACTTGCACTCAGTAATGGATGGACTTCCAGTTACACCCAAAGAACAAGGTAACCCTTGTAGGTTACAAATCCCTTGTAACACAACCTGGAACCACTGAAGAAACTCCACAAGGACAACAAAGCTGAAGGAAAGCAAGGGTTGAGCCATGTGGTAAAAGGTTTCACCTCTCCAACTGACTTCCCCAAAAATGAAAGTGTAGGATGCTGTGCTGGGGACATCTTCAGTTCTGTCTGAGATACGCTGACTACTGCATGTCATCAGGGTATCTGGTATTGTCCTAAGGCTCAGAAAAATCATTCATGCCCCCAAAAGAAAGTAACATGGCCAATGCAAACACCAGGCAATATCTTACCTGAATCACCATCAGCAAGGCTCTTCCAAACTTCAGCTTCAGGAAGGTCAGGGGCTGAGGTATTGTATTTCCCCTGTGAACGAAGGCGAATGGTGCATTTTTTAAGTTTCACGTGAGGCAGCCACACAAGTGCTTTAGGTTGACCTTCCCTGTGGATTGCAGAAGACTGTCCTTGTCCAACCAGCAGAGGCTTTCTGTGCAAAGCAGCTCACTGTCCTTGGGCTTTTGCACATTTCGTGTGTGTGAGATTCAAGTATTTGTTATTATTTCTTGAAATGAGAATCCCCCTTCAAGAGCAGTGCTTGGTTTACATGGAAAACAACATTCTCCCACACCAGTCATTTCCAGTAAATCAGTCCACAAAAGTCTGGGTGTTCAGTACATGCTTGTTGGCAATTTATGCAAATCTGTTCTACAAATAATCTTGACAAATAATGCTAAGAGTGAATTTGAGCTGAGGCTGTCTGAGATCACAGGTGTTAGTTAGGTTATCAGACACAGTGGGTGGCATGTTAATGTGTTCACATCTTAACTAGTGGGTATAAGCGAGAGGCTTGATCTACAACTGAAAGAAAAAACTGAAAGAAAAATTGAATATACAGCACAACAGATACTGCTGAACAGATTCGCATGTGGGCACTTGATTTATCACAATGCCTACATAAATATGTATGGAGCAACTGTTTCAGAGAGGCCCCATGCATGGACAAGCCTGTAAAATTAGTTTTCTGATCTAAATATTAAAATTGGCCCTTGGCAAGTAATATAAATAATAGTCTCTTACAAAATCACTGTTTCAATTAATTTTACTGGCATCACCTTAATCTGTGCAAGAAGGAGAGAGAAGCATCAAACAGGCCTGAAAGCCAGCAAAATAAATTCAGAGTTGTTTTCAAGAGGTCTGCTTGTCTCACAGTTAAGAAAATGCACCATGAGATGGAAAAACAGATTTAAGTCCCATCTCTGCCAGGGTCTAATTTTTCTCTGTAGAAAAGTAGGATGTATTTCTTGCAGCAAACACAAAGCATTTTCTCTTACTTCAATAAACAATCATTTTTTCTGAGCAGTTACATCAAACAACTTACATTTTTTTGCATCCTCCAGTAGCTTTGTTTTACTGCAATTGTCATTGTTTAAAGAGGAAAAAAAAAGCAAATAGAAAAAAAGTACCTTTCCACTTCCTTAAACCGATTAGAAATGTCATTCACATTACCCTGTGGAAGTGAACTGAACTATTCCCAACAGCCACTCAAAAAATACATAATCACCATAATTACTGGTGGCATCTAATTAACATTCAGCTTCCTCTCTACAGCAGCTACAGCTGGACAATCCATTTATTTCAACCTAAAACTAATGCTCTCCTAATTATTTTCCATCTCGCTAAGCAGCCCACCTGTGCCCATTTTCACCGACAGCTCCGTCTGGCACAGCGTGAGGGCAGAGCCTGGTGAGCTCAGCCTGGAACTGCCTTGCTAACAACTGCCCCATGCAAACACGGGGACCTGCTCCCACTAATTATACAGCTCCTGGCTCTGTCAGCCTGCTTAACCAGGATCCACAAAAAAAGAAACAAAAAAAAAAGGCAAAGGAGCTGCAAAAGGCTGCGTCCGCCCCAAGGGACTTTGTGCTCTGTGCTTGACAGGACAGGGAGGAGGATAACTGAGCCCATAAAATGCACATGCCTCTGGTTTGATGCTGTGGACTGTCTTCCAGAAGGGCATGGAACGGTGGGCACACCAGTGGTCCAAAAGCCTGGCACATCATGGTGCTGATCTCCAGGCTGGGGCAAACCCACTGCTGCCACCTCTGTTCTCCTTCCCTGGCCACTCTGTTGCAGCAACAGGAACAAAACTGCTCACCCCAAGTACTATTTTAAAAATAAAGACAGCTAGGGATTACACAGATATAGTAGCCTGCTTTTATGAACTGCCTAGTATCAATAACTCTGAATAAGATGAAGTACATGCAAATCCACAATACCTTAGTTGTTTCAGTCTACTCCTAGCCCTTTCCACCCCCATATCACTAATCAGGCAACTTTTTAATTCACTTTTATTTTCTATACGTGCATCACCTCTTGTTAGGGAAAGTAATGCCTGCTGTTGCCATCTGGATGAGCTCAAACTCATTAGCTCTGTTTCCTTCCAAAATTCAGCTAAAAACTTATTTTCTTTTTTGCTCACTCCTCTCTCTCTTTGCTATTATGTTTCTACTTACATTATTTCAGCCTGTAATGATTGTAGCACTCCTAGGAATGATGATCCGCAAAATTATCTCATAATTGCATTCACACGTGAACTTTCATCATTACAACTAAATATATAAAGGGGGATGAGAAGGAAACTGGCAGTTACTGGAGGAAGCTCTGGCTGAACTTCTCTTGAACTCAGGAATTACTAATGCTTCTTTTCCCTTCACCCTCACTTTAATTTGTCAGCTCTAGGGTGAACATCTGAAGGCACCAAGAGGCCTCTGCTCAGCCCAGCCAGTTGGGTTCACAAAACCCACAGTGACACAGTGTTTATCCCCAGTCAAAGTGGGTACGAGAAGTTAATGACATTCAAAATCTGTGGGGAGAAGGAAGGAGCTCAGCACAATATTGTAGAAGTCACTTCAGAGATCAAGGAGACTAATACAGCAGGTCAAGAGAGGTTGTATGAGTTGTCAGAGATGGCCTGAGCATCAAGGGGAAGAAAATTAATCAGTGCATGCATACTGGAACGTTATTTATGCAATAGTCAAGGAGTTACAGTTTTGATGCCAAGGTAAGAACTCTAAGCACCAGTTAAGATCAGAAATTCAGTATCTTCAGGCTGTGTGCACAAATTTTTTTGCTCCTCGTTACCTGCTGAGCAGTAAAGTGCCTCCAAATGGAATTGTCCAGACTTCCCCAAACAAATTTTCAGTTCCACAAAAGATAACCTAATCTTGGCAGCTGACCTGTAAAACCTTTTAGATATGGCTATAGGTAGAGGACCAAATTTTATAAAAATGCCCTAGTTCTTATCAGTGCAAATCAAGCTAAGATGGATCAAGGAACTGAAGTTGCAGCATTTGCTAAACTCAAGAGCTGCCCATGTGCTCCCCTGGCTGTCCAGGAGTACTCAGGTTTGAAAAACTAACTGCAAACCAGTGTATTTCTCTTTGCAATTTTTCCAGAAAATAATTTAACAGTTAACACAAAGATCTCCAGCCAGTATAACATTGCTAAGGCTCCCCAGGTGAACCTCTTGCATTTCATTTACCGTACTGGTGAAGCCCAGGATTGCAGACATCTGATTTTTGGGCTGCTGTGCTCCCCACACCAGCCAGGCTCACACCTCCCACTGCACATTATCTCTCCTGGAAAGAGCACTCAAAGCATCAGCAAGGAAAGAGCTCTTGCAAGCCTGAGAAGTTCACAACAAGCCCAGCAGAGGAAGAGGGATGGGTGGATTTTCTGGTGTCTAATTGCACATACACCATCTCTGCCAGTACTCCCAGCAGGGGAAGTGTGGGACTTGGGAAGTTCCATTTATTTTTTTATTTACTTCTACAAAACTTCTAGAAATGCAGGTTCTTTGAAACCCCACTATCCTGCCCTATCAAGCTGAGGCTGTCCAGGTGGTTCACAATGCATTTGTACCCCTTGTCATGTTGCAGGGTGCCAGCCGCAACCAAATTATTTCATCTGATGCTTGAAGACAGGGCTTACAAAACAAACATCTCCTTCGAACTAATGGCCCTGTCCAAAAGCCAAGCAGGTAGCAACTTATCACTTCCAAACTCAGCCAGCACTCACTTGCACTTCTAATTGTTTTTAGCCTCTTCTTAAGGCAATTAACTCCATACTCACCCCCTGACACTATCTCAGTCCAAAAAGCAGCTCCCATTTACTGCCACAGGGCTCTGCATTTAGATCTCAAGCTTCTGTCTTTACTCCCTTTCCTCTGCAGGGCACTGCATGTGTTTGTGTCTGGGCATGTGTTTTCTCACCCTGATGAATTCATTATTTATGGGGCTGAAAGAGCAAAGCTGCTGAAATCATTTAGCTCTTCTGCATGTCTCCCAAAGGCATAACAAACATAATGGGAAAGCAAATATCAGGCTAAGCGGGGTTGTTTGAGGGAGAACACAGAAATGAACGTGGGGATGCTGTGCAGCAGGAATGCCAATACATGCCATGCTTTCCTGCCTGGTGTGGGGCTAAAATTCTCCTGTCCTGGTTCCAGCTGCTCGCAGGGATGCCCCGAGCAGCCTGGACCAGCACAGGTCAGTGTGCTCCAAGGGATGCTCTGTGCTCCCTGGATCACTGCTCAGCTTTACCAGGTCTGGCAAATGGCACTAGAGGGCAGAGCTATTTACTCTCAGCATATCTGAGCCAAGGGGGAAAATCCACAACTTCTGGGCTGCTTCTAAATTCTCCACAGTCCTGTCCAACACCAAAAGCCTTTAATACACAAAAGCCATCACATATATTTCTACTCAGAGTGACAAGCACAGGCATTAACAAGCCAACAGAGAGCCTGCAGTTCCCTGCTCTGTCTTTACTGAGACTGAAGAGCTGGAGGTGAGTGACAGCCTCTTGCCAAGGCAGCAGCAGCCTGGGCCTGCCCTGGCTCTCTGCACTCCAGGGCACATAGGGCAATGCAAGTAACACAGGTCCCTTGCCAGCAGGAGTGGGTAACAAAGCCTGTTCTCCTCCCATCACTGATGTGGATGAAAAGGTTTTACTCATCAGGAAGCTTTGATCACAGAGACCAGAAATTATGGACCACACTGACATGCTGCTGCTAAGGCTTGACACTCAGGCTTGCTGCTAAGCATCTCAACAGATGGCAAGAGCTTCCAAGCAGGTGAAATCTTCAATGTTTTAGCTTTTGTTCTGAGCAGATGACCAGAGGCCAAGAGCCCTGTAGGTGGGCAAACAGAACTGTCTGAATGCACATCTACTCCATGAACCACAGGATTTACATTCCAGAGAGCACCTCCAACAGCCATCGCTACATCTCCTGGACCTCAGCTCACTGCACTTGGCTCAGGAGGCGGGGGAGGGACTGTAACTCCTAAAATTGACACTCTGTTACATGCAAAGGTTTTTGGATGGTATACACTTGCTAACTACAACAGACTTTTCCACAGTGTCCTGGTAGTGAGAGCATCCTTGGATGAGGATTATAGCCCCAAGAATCCCACTCCAAACTACTCATAAGTCCTTTTCTTATTATTTCCCCTGTGCACACAGTGTGCTTGCCTTTATTATTATCAAGATTAGTCATCCTGCAAGCCTGTTTACTGTTGAGTAAGGAAGCAAAGGAGTCTTGCCCCAGGAAGTCACTGCTCCTTTCAGGGTCTAAGGAACTTGTTCATGAAGTACCACACTGCATCATATCCCAGCTGTGCTGCCAGTGAGGGTACTTCATAACAAAATCTCTGGACAGGGGAAGGAAAGTACCTGCAAAATATAACTCAGAGCACAGTGCATTAATGGCTTAGTCAACAGCTTAGAATAATGTTGGCTATCTTAATAGCGTGGAAAAAAAAGTCTATTAATATTTAAAGAGAAGGAAGGAAATAATACTGGTTTCAGGTCTCAGTCACATTTTGTCCCTTGCCACAACCACTTTATTCCACATCTCTTCCTCCTGGGCACACCCTGCATCTTCTCCTCCGCAGAGGAAAGGCAATGTGTTGTCTTATTTTTGTGCAGAATTTGATTTCAAAGTCATCATTGCAAAAAGGGCTGAAAGGACCCTCAGAGCTGAGGCCAGGCAGCTCTATCTTTTCTGGCAGATGTTAATCTAACTTCTGACTCCCAGTGACTGCAACTCCACAACTTCCTGGGGCAAATCTACCTCAGCGTTTCTCCATCTGCCCCTTAAAATTGTTTATCCCTTAATAGCATATCTTTTCCTGCCAACCAGCACATACAAGAGAACTGCCCATTCCCTTCCTTTCCTCTCTGCAGCAGCCCAGGAGAACTCAAACATGATCTCACCTCCTCCCAGTTACCTCTTTTTTTACCCCTCACAGTAAATAGCATGAAGCCCACAAGTTTTCTCCCCACAGCCTCTACCCTCGGTTCATTTTTAGTGTCTCTTTCTTGACTCCATTTTCCCAACTATCTTTCTTTTTTTCTTTTCTTAGGATGAAGCCCAAAA